ACCAAGGTATTATTAGCTTGGCAAATATGAAAGGTTATTTTTTACAAAAAATATTGCCCTGTCGTTACGAAGAACATTCGCTGTCTAGGATTTTTCTCAATAATATGTCAAAATGTGCTCATGTTTTTTTTGCAAAAACCTTTTTGTTTTGAACAATATTTGTATTGTTTCAGCTCGGCAAAGATGGATAACCAAAAATTTAAAATCAGGGCCGCCATTTTCTTTGAATTCAAGTTAAACAAGAAAGCTACGGAATGCCATCAGAACATTTGTACTGTTTTTGGAGAAGCTGCTCTTACTTGCAAACAATGTTGTGTTTGGTACGATCGCTTCAAAACGGGAAACGAGTCATTGAAAGATGCACCACATGGAAAGCCGCCGATTACTTTGGACGATCAGCTGTTACTGAACGAGGTCGACTTAGATCCATCGCAAACGTGTAGAAAATTAGCAGAAAAGTTCAGATGCACTCATGTTACCATTTACACGTTCTTGGGAAATCATATCGAAACGGGAAATGGCCCCCCACGACCTGACTGATGCCCACAAAGTCACACGAGTCACCTTGAGCTCTGTTCTTCGACGTAAAGCTAGCCATCGTGACTTTTGGAAGTATTTTTTGACATCTGATGAGACTTGGCTTTCGTATGAAAGTATTCAACTCTATGGACAGTGGCTGAGTTCGAAGCAGATCTCTCATCCTATCCCGAAGCCTCCGAAAAAGTTATGCTTTGTGTGTGGTGGAATGCTAAGGGATTGGCTCATTTTGAAATATTAGATAAAGGAGACACTGTTGACGGAAGACTCTATGCAGAACAAATGGGTCGAGTCGATCCAGCATTGAGGAAAAAGAGGATCGATCCATCGAAGGTCAGATTTCTTCACGACAATGCTAGGCCTCACATTTCAAAGATCGTCCACGAACAAATCGATAAGCTGAGCTGGAAACTTCTTTCACACCCACCATACAGCCCTGATCTAGCCCCATCGGATTACCATCTCTTTCGGTCAATGAAACAAGTAGTTTCTGGACAGCAGTTCAAACAAAAGCAGGACATCGAAAATTGGGTTGCCAACTATTTTGCCTCTAAAAATCTTCAATTTTACGAGGACGGTATTCGTGATTTGGGGTAACGTTGGGAAGAAGTTATTAATGCTTCTGGTGAATAGATTTGATTTTGAAAGTGTTTTAATAAATTTTTCTGTTATGTTAAAAATGATCAAAAAAATAACCTTTCATATTTGCCAAGCTAATAGTTGGGTTTTGGTTCCTCAAGTTTAGACGCTAGGCTAAGCCTTGGGCTGAGCCTTAGCTTGTCCCTTAGCACTTCTAGAGGACGGTAGTGTAGCTTGTCTTACAGTATTCCATGCATTTCGTAGTCCAGATCAGACTGGAATTTCTCTCCAAGAAAACTAGGCTCACAGATTGTAGATGGTTACTGTAGCTTGTCCTACAGTATCCCGAGCGCTCTTGGAGTACGGTAATGTCGCTTGTCTTACAGTATTCTATGCACTTCTAGAGTACAGTCTTGTAGCTTGTCTTACGGTATTCTAAGCACTTCAGAGTAAGGGCTTGTAGCTTGTCTTACAGTATTCTAGAGTACAGTCTTGTAGCTGTCGTTTACAGTACTCCTAGGGTCATGTACTTTGTACACTTTGTACCCAAAGACCACTTGAGTACTGTATTCTATAGATTATTCTAGAGTACAGTCTTGTAGCTTGTCGTTTACAGTACTGTATTCTATAGATAAAGTACTCTGAAAGCTCCAAAACACTACAGTATCCTAGCAATCGTTTTTTTACTAGAGTACAAAGTACTAGCCGCACTTGGAGTACTGTAATTTTTTTTTTAATTCAGAGAAAAAGAACGTCGTGAGAAGAAAAAAGAGACGAAAGTGGTGGAAACGAAAAAATTAAATCTTTTATCGTTTGGCGATGAAGCAGAAGAGGATGAGGAGGAGCTCACACACATTAACAAGGTTTGGGAAACGTTTTCAATGTCACTAAGTGTTCACCTTTCATTGAATAGTCATTGTTTTCATTGTACAAATCGATTTCAAACGCAGCACGGAAGTCGATTTGCCGATTTGCCGAAAAGTCGATTTTGCAATTTCTAACAAAGCTCAATTGGCTTTCTAGAAATTGCTTTAGTGGCTTCCGGATCGAAGAATGATTGGTTTTCTTGTTTCAGAAACTCTCGGGTAAAGGGAAAAGTGCGCACGATGTACTCGACGTTTTACACTTCATTGATCGTTTTTCCGTGACACGATGATGAAATATGGCGTCTAGCTCGCGGTGTAAGCTTTGGTTTTGAGTCGAATGGCGTCTTATTTGGTGCAGAAACGAAATCAAATAGACTTTATATAAAGTTCGCACGAGAGTCGGATCGGCCCAAATTTTTGCGATTTTCCTTATTGAGACGCCAATCCTCCAACGGGCATCAATCTGGCCTTTCTATAATCCGTGAGAAGCTTTCCGGTGCCATTTATTTGGAAGTATAACGAAAAGTATAAAGGTTTAATAAAAAAATAACAAAAGAAAACGAAAAATTTCAAATAACAACAGCCAGGGGTGATTTAAAAGATTTGAAAAGGTTGATTTAGCAAAAAGTTTCTTTTTTAAAATTTTTGCATTTTAAAGCATTTTTTCAAATTATTTAAATCATTTCAAATCATTTCAAATCATTTCAAATCATTTCAAATCATTTAGGGGTGGTCAAACATGGTAAAGCTTTGAGATCTAACGGCTTCTATTATTTACAAATTGATTTCAAGAAATTACTTCTTAAAAACAGAAATGGATTCAGCTTTTCCCTTAAAATTAGATCTCCAAACTCTAACAGATTGAAAGTAATCTTTAAATGTAATAATTCTTTAAATGACTTTTAAAACTTTAGCCTGATGAAGATGAGGATTTGGATTCGATTATTGAGCAAGAGAGAAAGGAAAAAGAACAGGAAAGGATGTAAGTTGAAACAATTTTCAACCTTTCTTAATAGTAGCGTCCCAAGGGGCTTATCAGCGGGCCCAGGGGCTTATCAGCGGGCCCAGGGGCTTATCAGGGGGCCCAGGAGACTATCAGCGGCCCCGTTTCTCGTAAATGTTTGAGAAATATTTGTGTCAATGGTTTAAACGTTTAAACACGTTTGTTTAAACGTAACAAACGTTTAAACGCCTAAATGTTTTGGGATAAATGTGTGAAAAACTTTAGAAGTAGTAGGCTGTGAATAATCTTGAGCTGCCGTTAATCTTCTTGAATAAATCGGGCCGCCGCTATTAAGAAAGATGCTGAATTTTCTTTTGTAGAAAGCAATTACAGAAAGGAAATGGCTGGCGAGTTAAAATCTCTTCAAAAAGAGTATATAAAAGCACTTCGAGGACCAAAAGAAAAGAAGACTGAGGAGAGTGGTGAGTGGAAAGAAAGAAAAGACTGAATTTAGACTGAATTTAGACTGAATTCAAGTCTAGATCTAGACTTCTAGGCGAAACAAGTCTAGATCTAGTCTCCTAGGTCAAACAAGTCTAGATCTAGTCTCCTAGGCCAAACAAGTCTAGATCTAGTCTCCTAGGTCAAACAAGTCTAGATCTAGCTCCTAGGCCAAGCAAGTCTAGATCTAGTCTCCTAGGTCAAACAAGTCTAGATCTAGTCTCCTAGGTCAAACAAGTCTAGATCTAGTCTCCTAGGCAAGCCTAGGTCCAAGGTTACGCAGATGAATCGAAGAACAATTCATAACCACAATCATTTCTAAATCAATTTCTAAATATTTCTAAATATTTCTAAATCAATTTCTCAGTTTTTCTATCAAATTCCTTTCAGTTTACAATCTTTATTTTACTTTTAACAAAGATAATTTCTAATTTGTTTTCTAATAAGTAAATTGACAATTTACAGCGATTCGAATCATTACAATGATCTGGATTTACAGAGGAACCCGTCTCTGAGGTGCTGGCTGAATATAAAGCGATGAGAATCAAATTCAAATCAAAGACGAAAAAATTGAAGAGTAAAAGGGACGAGGGACGAGAGAATCAGGTTTAGAAAATTCGCTTTCATTAGCTTAGCTTGGCTTGGCTTAGCTTGGCTTGGCTTGGCTTAGCTTGGCCTCACTGATTAACTGGCTCATCTCAGCTCATTGATTACGTTCACGATTGCTTTGCTACCATCATCAAACGATTGATTATCATGTTTTCTATACGACAAAAAGCACTCTTTAAAAAGCGATACTATTATTTTAGTTTACTGTAGTTGTTAGCAAAGATTAGCTCTTGGAATAGCTCTTAGAATAGCTCTTGAATAGCTCTTGAATAGCTCTTGAATAGATCAAGGAAAGACTCTATTCGATTTCAAAGCAAATTTCCTTATCTAGTGATAAACGGGTTTAAGGTAGTTGAGAATTTGATGAAATCCTTTTTGAAGAAAGTAAGAAAATCATTGAATTCAGACACAATGGCTACATCTGATTTCAGATCAAATTTCCTTATCTAGAAACAATCATAGTTGAAGGCAGGGGGGTTTTAAGCCAGGTTAAACAAGGAGTTAAGAGAATAAGAGAAGTCAATGGAGACTTGATCTTTGAAGGCTTGATCTTTGAAGGCTTGATCTCTAAAGCCTTGATCTCTAAAGCCTTGATCTCTAAAGCCTTGATCTTTGAAGGCTTGATCTCTAAAGCCTTGATCTCTAAAGCCTTGATCTCTAAAGCCTTGATCTTTGAAGGCTTGATCTCTAAAGCCTTGATCTCTAAAGCCTTCTCTGCCTCCAAAGGCTTGATGCCTCTGAACGAGCCTTTTCTGCCTCTCTAAAGCCTTGGGCCTCGATACCCCTTGACCCCAAGCGCCTTCCCCCCGAAGCCTTGATCTCTAAGGCCTTGATCTCTAAGGCCTTGATCTCTAAGGCCTTGATCTCTAAGCCCTTGATCTCTAAGGGATCCTTGAATAAGAGAAGTCCCTCAAGAATTAATCAAAATGAAAGAGCGAAATCCAAAATCAAATCCTTTCCAGACAATGCAACTTCTTGAGCGTTTCCGCGCGAAATTAGATCAAGCCGAGCAAACGGATATCCTTTTCGACAAATCGGTAAGGACTTTTAGACTGTAAAGGCTACTGTGGCTGAGGTACGGGATTTAATGTTCAATGGTATCAATGTCTCAAGTTCGATTACTTTTTAAGGTGGATACAAGTTTACCCGAACGAGTCGATCTTTCCGGCGAAAAGGAGGAAGAAGAGAGGAAGAAGAGAGGCGAAGAAATGAGAATTCGACGGAATGCAGATGGAGTGGATGGGGTGGATGCAGAGGATGGAGATGAAGACAAGGAAAAGGAATTCGGATATGATTTAGACGCTGAGGATATTGTGGGAACTGATTGGTGAGAGCCTTTAAGCCTTTTAAACCTTTTAAAATGATAGAGTACCATTCGCATAGTACATTCACATAGTACACCCGCATAGTACATTCGTATAGTACATTAGCATAGTACATTAGCATAGTACACTCGTATAGTACACTCGTATAGTACATTCGTATAGTACATTCGCATAGTACATTCGATAGAGTTTTTTTTTTTCCAGGCGTTGATCTCGAATAGCTGAGTCAAAAGTGTTTAGGCGGAATTTGAATTCACCTAGAAATTGGTGGCTTTAAAGTTAAGTGGAAAAAAGATGGAAAAAAGACGCAAAAAACGCCGCCACTCAGCAATAGCCACTGTGCTATTCGGATTGCCTAAAAGAAATCGATTTCCACAAGTTCTCCGGCACATTCGAAAAGCTTAGGCTTTTCTTAGCTCAGCCAATGATTTAAGCTTAGGCGAAATAACGATTTCTGGAGCTCAGCCAACGATTTAGCCTTGTTGTCGGAAGAATTTAGAACCAGAAAGTCAGACTTGTACATCAGTTTGTACCCAGCTTCATCAGAGATACTTTTGTAAGCGAAAGTAAAGCAAAACCAGAATCTAACACCATTTAGAAAACGTTCTAGCTTCAGCAATGCATTTCCAGGATGAAGCACGCGTTCGTCGCCGAGGACGAGCTCGATCCGAATGTCACCCGGGCAAAGGTACGTCAAAGTATCGCTTTTGAGGGGTATGCCTGTTTGAAGTCTATAGTTTTGTTCATTGAATGACTTTTGTAAGATGGAAACGCGGGGTACAGCTGACCCGGAGATCAGTGGATGCTCTGGCCATAAACCGAGTCAAGATCCTAGCCAGGTTTAGGGTTTAGCAGTGAAGCCAAGTCAAGGAATTGCCACCAGGATCCAGGCCAGGCTTCTGGCTCTAGGCCTGTCTCCTTAAACCTAAATCTAAGCCTAGCCTTAAACCTAAGCCTAAGCCTAATCCCAAACTTCTAGACATGGTAACGATCTGAAATTTTCCAAGCATACTCCCCTTGGGTTCCAAAGCACAAGGGCAATTGCTTGCAACTTCGCTCCAAGAACTGGCTGAGATCCCGAAAATGGGGGTTCAACCCAAACCCAAATAGACTTAGTGCGAGGCGCTAGCCGCTAGCATAGGCGAAGTCCAATCCTAAACCTAAGCCCAACAAGCCTAAGCTTAAACCTAAGCCTAATAATCCTAAGCCTAAGCCTAACTCTAAACCTAAGCCTAAACCTAAGCCTAAGCCTAAGCCTAAGCCTAAGCTTAACCGGGTTCTAGCCTTGTCCATCACTTTTCTACTCTTTTCAAACTCTTTCCAGGACGCGAATCTTCGTGATGAGGCGAAAAGTGATTGGTATGATTTGTCGGATCCACGACATCCAATCAATAAACGGAAAAGGGGCGAGATTTGAGGCGTTTTCGCGGAAAAGAATCTCATATCTATCCCCTAAATGATAAACTCATCCTTATATCGTGTTTTTTGTTATAAAACTGTCATGTGCTATCCAGATTGCTCGATATTCAAATAAAATCCTGTAACTGTTAGCCGGTGTGCCATCCAAATTGGCTGAAAATCGACTTGCAACCAATTTCCCGATCAATTCGAAAAGTTTAAGCTTTAGAAAAGCGAAATTGCTTCTTCCTGGAGCTCATCCGATGCGCGTTTTTTAATATTTTGTAAATTTCTCAAGATACCGAAATCAAGCAAAAGACATATATGAGTATTATTCGAAAGCTGAAGATCTCCTCTACAATTTCGATATAAAAAGTTTTTGAAGTTTGTTCAGCTTTTGAGCAAATTGACTGCACAGAAGAAGAGGTAGCCAAAAATTGGAAGGGTTCCTTTGGCACCCTTCCATTTGTCGAAATCGAACTTACTAGGGAACTCGGTGGTTAGTTGAAACAATTAACGACCGATTTTCGAAACCGGACCTAGCTGCAAAAGGCCCCCGTAGAATTCTAAGAAACACGCTTTTTCCCCCATGGACCCTGGCTTTCGAGAAAAACATGTTCAAAGTTTCGGTAATTTTTGGCGAGGGGGACTCTCTGCGAATAAGTTCGTGTCAAATAGAAGTCTCAAATCAACTGAACAACTAGTGCTCCTTTCTCTTTTCTACTGCAGTCCATTTCCTAACTTGCATGCTACAATTTGGCATCATTAGCCCGATAAGGCTTTAAAGTCACTAATTTCAAGTTGTTTCAAAACAAACTTCACCGTAATCATTTCGAGTTCAAAATCATTAGCTAAATCCAACTCAAAAAGTCTACAAAAGCTTTATTCGTGAAAAATTAACTCGAGAATTCGCATGTATATCTCTAAATGTGAGTCCAAAATTTAAACGACCAACTGAAAAGAACAACATTAAGTACTCTCAACATCAAAACAAATAAAATGGAAACGAGAACAAAACGATCAGAGAATAGTTAGTTCAGTTTGGTCACTCTGCGCTTCGCTTTCTCCATTGCAATCTAAAGAAAACCGATAAAAGTATTGGAGAAACAGGCTATCTGAAAGGCACAACGTTTCTTTGCATTAAAAGTTGACCCAGTTACTCTAGCCCCGGTTGATCATAGTTTCAGCTGACCACGGTTACATAGCAAAAAAAGGGTTCAATTTCTCACTAGACTCACTAGAGCGCCCAAATTTCGGAGCAAGCTGGAGCGCACAGCACGACAAGCCATGAAAAATACCTACCTCTTGGCGTAATTCTTCCGCTTTGAACAGCCGCTCGCCGAGCTCCGTGTACCTCTAAAAATAAGAGATAAGCCGTAAAACAAGCTTTGTGGTAAACAACATAGAATTCAAATAATGATAACTCTCACCATATTCTCCAGCCTTTCCTTTTTAGCCAAAGTCGCCTTTAGACGCGTGCAAGCTTCTCGAATAGCTTGTGCTTCTTCGTCGGTGATTCTATCCTTTAAACAGACAGAAATTGACCAAAATCTCATAAAAGAAAAGCTACTATCGTTACTATTTCAAATATCCAAGACCAACCATCGTTTCCGGATCGTTGACCAACCCAGACCTGCTCCTAAAATAGAAAAGTGTTGAATTATGGAAGTCGCAATTTACATGATCCTTGTAACGGTCAGGTCTAGTGAAATCTGACTCTGAGATCTGAACCAAAGCTCCAAAATAACACTATTTTCCACCTTCAACGACTTTTTACAGTCAGTTTACAACTGGCAGAGTTACATAGAGTTCCAAATTCACTTTCTGCTTTCTTTTGTTACAAGTTGACCTTTCAAAAAACCCACCAACGACTCAAAAATCAAATTTTCGGGTCCTCGATATTTGTTGAAGAATTGATGCAACTCGACATGCATATCCGGGAAACACTCGATCGACGTGCGCTCCGCGTTGTCCAGGTCCGAGAGATGCCTAAAAAGAAGCGATTAGCACATTTTACAACGATAACATTGTCTTCTTTTTAATCAAAGGCTTTAATTATTAGCTTTGCAATTTGTATGACAACTTGAAAAAATGTTCGCTAAAAGCAACCAATTTCTATCCAAAGTTTGCTTAATAAGTGCATTTCAACATCTTGAATTTCCACTCAAGATTTTGCTGTAGCACTTGTTTAAGTTGTTTTTAAACAATCCTCACAGCAAGTATGTCATCTTCGCTTGTGGCTGATGAGTGTTGATGTGTTGATTCATCTCCAATTCCGAATCGCTCGTCAAATCGCACGCCTCACAGCAGAATTTGCAATCACTAAATGAAAGGAGATTGAGTCAAGTCAAGCAGATTAAAAACACCAAAAAACTCACGTCATGTGCGTGAAAACGTGTTTTCCCGCCTCGAACAAGGATAGCAGCAGTTGCGCGCACTTCTGAAGAGGGAAATGATATAAAATATGACAAAGAATCCCTTTAAACACATTTAGAGCACAACTTTAACACTTCTCTCTGGAAGTTTCGCATTTTCTGGGAAAAAAGAACATGCTGAATTGCGTGTGAAAGTTTTTAAAGTAATTCCGAGCAATTTAAAACTCGAAAACTCGAGCCAAAACAAGATAAAAGTAATCAAAAACGTCAATTCTATCAATTCAGCACATCGATCACCCAAAAATTTGGCATAAACATTCGACTTTGAAGCGTTTTACGGAGAAATGACAAAATTTTCAACGAATTGCTTGTTTTGAGCAAAATTAAGCGAATCTAACATGCTGAATTGAGTGAACCATAAAATCATGCTCAGCGAAGTGCAAATTCTAAACACCCACCCTGCATTTATGCAATTCAAATGGTGCGTCCATTTCTAGCCGCTCTTAATCAAATCCGTTGTAGACCCTGAAAAGAATAGAATTCGCATGAAATCTTGTAAAAATAAGAAACTTGAGAGAGAAACGCAAAAAGAGACACGCTTTGGGGAGAAATTGGGCAAAATTTTTGACTGCCTAGGTAGAAATGATGCTCTAAACAGGTCAGAATCGATAAAATTTCATAAATTTACACATGTGCGGAAGGTTTTCGGCAAGATAATCACACATTTTTATACAAAAACTTTGAAAAGCGACTTTTTCTAACAAATTTTGATGTTTTTGAGGGAAATTCTGCTCAAAACATGCCAAATTCTACAAAATTTGCTAAATTTGCACATTTGCCGAAGGTTTCTAGCAACAAACTCTTATAGAAAAACTTGGAAAAGAAACTTTTCTAACAAATTTTGACGTTTCGGGCGAAAAACATACCAAATCCGATAAAATTGCACTCGCACTGAGCACTTTCAACAAGATAAGCACTAAATTTTAAGCAAATTCTTCTAAAATGAAGGGGTAGGCTACTTTCCGCCATTTTATTTGCGCAACAGGGTCATTTGCGCAACTTTTTTTGCGCAACAGGGTCATTTGCGCAACTTTTTTGACGTTTTTAAGGGACGTTTTTTTTAAGGGAGTTTTTGGCGTTTTTTTTTGTTGTTTAAAATTCTAGTACGGTTTTGTTTATTCTTAAAAACCATTGTTAACTAATTTTCCGCATTTTCCCAAGAATCCGCATCCATCGTATACTGCGGTCAGACTTTACGAAGAAATGACGCAAATAATCAACCGTTTCAAGCTTTCATCGGCTATCAATCTCACTGTTGGACAAAACTACACACGGAAGAAAACTGTATTGGCTCGACAAAAGCAACGTTTTACTGCTATTTCTAATGGTCGCTTGCCCGGTTGCGATTTTGTGCAACATCTTTCTCAGCTTTTGACTTATATTAAAAAAATTTGATTTTTATTGTTGTCCTAAATTTCATTGCTATTGTTGCCCTAACTTTCATTGTTATCGGTTGCACTTTTTTGTTAAAGCGATAAAATATTTTACTAATGGTTATTAGCTCTTAGAAAGGACTAATTTAGATAAATATTGGAAGATTATGCAAAAAAAATTGGAAGATTTCATAAAAATAGAAGAAAATAAAAAACAATAAAAAAAAAAAGCTCAAAAATGAAAATAATGATTAAAAATTCGAGTGCTTAATACAGTGTTAAAGTTGCGCAAATGACCCTTTTTGTGCAAAAAAAAGTTGCGCAAATGACCCTGTTGCGTAATTAAAATGGCGGAAAGTAGCCTACCCCAAAATGAAAAAATGAAAAATGAAAATCCGCCGATTTTCTGTTATTTATACTTTCATTGTGAAAGATTTGCCTTTTCTGTAATATTTTTCTAATTGACTGAATATCTTTCAGACAAGCGGCTAATTTTCATCCCAGGCCATTGATGCCAGACTTTCGGAAGACTTTTTCTTCAAACTTTCAACATTTTTTGTGATTTTGAGCGGGCAATTTTATCGAATTTTATCGGATTTGGTATGTTTTTCGCCCGAAACGTCAAAATTTGTTAGAAAAGTTTCTTTTCCAAGTTTTTCTATAAGGGTTTCTTGCTAGAAACCTTCAGCAAATGTGCAAATTTACCAAATTTTATAGAATTTGACAGGTTTTGAGCAGAATTCCCCTCAAAAACATCAAAATTTCTTGGAAAAAGTTGCTTTTCGAAGTTTTTCTATAAAAATGTGTGATTATCTTGCCGAAAACCTTCCGCACATGTGCAAATTTATGAAATTTTATCGATTCTGACCTGTTTAGAGCATCATTTCTACCTAGGCAGTCAAAAATTTTGTCCAATTTCTCCCCAAAGCGTGTCTCTTTTTGCGTGTTTCTCTCAAGTTTCTTATTTTTACAAGATTTGTTTACCAAACAGTTTTTGATTTTTGTTTTTATTTTCTTTTTATATAACAAAAAATGATTTTTTTTAGATGCCTGGACGATATTTGTCAACTCGGGACAAAGAAAAATTTTGTGGAAGCGCGAGAAAAAGGAATTCAGAGGAAAGATGTATACACGGAACTCGGCGAGAAGCAGGTACGAGTGGAAGAATTGCGCAGATTGGTGGGTTTTAATTTATTTTTGATGCCTTG